GATGCTTCCCACAAACCGGCCAGAACCAAACTTGCTTGCGAACCTTCTGCTATGACAATCCCGCCCCCTTGATAAACGACCAATCACATTCACTTTATTCAGCTCTATGCAGCTCTGACGAAAATGTGCTGCAAAAAAATTCTTCATTTCTTGTATTTTCCTATAATCTCGACATGCTTGTCGTGGCCATTAATTGTATTGAATAATGGATTAAAAGGAATAATGTAAAAAGTATGCAACATGCACATTCTGCATGTGAGCCGTGGTCGTCCTAAAATAGGTTGGGATGACAGCCAGCAGGATCTGGAACCATGACTTTTCTTCGACCCTCAGCAAAGATGGCCCCCAGCTGGATTCCATGTGGGTGAACATCTCACATGGATATTCCATTATATAACCGTTTCCTAGCAACGTAAACATTGACCAACAGCTTCTTGTAGCAGTCATCCCAAAGGGAATCCATCTGGATATTCTGATGCTTTCTATCAGAATTCTTTGGTTTCTGGTTCTTAAAGAGGACCGTCACGTCTGAATATCTAATATGAGGAAGGTTCTCTTCTGCCTTCAGTCAGCTGCCATGATGCTGCCACCACCATGCTTAAAAACAGACACAGGAGTTCCACGTAGGTTTCTCCTTCCTTTCTGACCCATTTCAGACATGGTCTCCACTGGGTGATCCTACAAGACAAAGGCCTGAAACTCAGACCTCGTCCCTGAATGAAGGATGCCTGAAAGCAGAGTTCAGGGCAGGAAACCCGCAAATTTCTGCCAATAGCTCTGCCATGATCCGTCAAATCTCAAAGCACAAACACCCCAGTAGTTTGCTAATGCTGTAAAGGAACCACTGATTAATTAGCATAGCTGAGAATAATTTCAACTGCAAACATATTTGTGTCTTGCAGGTACCAGTCCACGTTTTTTTGGATTTTTCCACCCTAGACTGCAGACATCTCAGTGAGGTTCTGGAGCTCTTTGTTCTGGACCTCATGGACACAAACGCCAACTACACAGAGAGGGAGGTGAAGGTAGGAGAAGCAGACGCAGAATCCCTTTGATTTCTTCTTTTTTCTGGATAAATCTAAAATGCCTTCAGTGGTTAAACGGATCCATTCTGTGATTTTTAAATGCCTCGTGTTTTTGGTAGAAGTTGCGTGCTGTGAAGCAGCATGATGGACGCCCTGACTCTTGTCTTACAGGCACAGGCCACCTCTGGAGGCAGAGTTACTGCCATTCCCTTCTGGTACCAGATCCACCTGGACTGGGACATCAGCCTGAACACCCTGAGCAGGACCTCCCACTGGAAGCAGGCCGCTGTGGTTCTGCAGGAGCCCCTGGAGGTCCAGGCTGGAGACTGGATCCGTCTGGCTGTGAAGCTCCATAAGAGCACCATCTCCATCTCTGCTCAGGTGGACATGGCGACTGTTCAGATGGAATAGTCTCATGTTGGACCGGTTTAGACGGTTCTGGATCAGCGCTATGGAGGTAATTTATTGCCTTACAGTTTGTTTTAAAAATAAACTGAAAAAAAATATCAATAGAAACACAAGAAATTATGAATTAAAACTGAAATTCTGTTTTAAATTGGAAGCAGAAGATTTTAAACAGACTGTGTGCTGTACTAATTTGTAAAAAAAATTTAAAAATCTCCAATAACATTTGTCCCATGTTAAGAAACAAAGCAAAAAAAGGCTTAGATAATTGAAGCAGGCTGCTTTTTTAGTTTTTATAAACCAGCCAAATAACCAGGATTTATTTAGACTTATGTTTCCCACAGTTCCTGAATGCAGCAGCACTGAGTATTTTCCTGGACTGTCAGTCATCATTCCACACATAGCTAAGCCCCACCCCCCATGTGAGGGGAGGGGCTTGCAGTAAAATAAGCTTGAAATTTAAACAAACTAAAATGTGTTTTTAGTGTTTGGAGTGAATTTTGTCCCAAGATTGTTGCAAAGAATACATTTTGTAAATGGAAATTAAAAAAAAAAAAAATTAAAAAAAAAAGGAATTCATTAATGAAAATGAATCTTAATCAAAAAAGGTTTCAAGAGCAACGTCTCTGTTCTGATTTTTTTAAACAATTTCTTCAAATTTTACATCTATATTTTTTTGTAACTATTTTATTTTACAGATTTTATGTCATTTTTATAATTTCCCCTTTTTAGATTGTTTTACAAATTGCATTCTTTTCAACTTGTGTTTAAAAAAGATCACATTCTTTTCACTTATAGAAAATTCACACTCAACTAGTGAAAAAAGGTCATAGCTAATTTTTTTTGGGGGGAAAAAATGTATTTGAAAAAATTATACATGAAAAAATAAAATGTAAACCAAAATCTGAGAAAACATTAGGTACTGTAAAAACCTTTTTTTTTTATTATGTTCGAAGTTTCATTTCTGAAATCTTTTTTTTCATATTCAAAATGCAATTTTTGTTCATTTCTAATAAAACATTTGCTTGCAAGAGTAATGGAACAAAATTCACTTCATATTTCACAATTTCTTTTTACTTAAAATATTTTTGAAGTAACACTGTCTTTTTCTGGTTACATAATATTCAGATGTAGTTTTTATTTACTCAGATTACCTAAGAACCTGCATGACATTTGATTTGATAGAAATTATGTGGATTAAGTTACAGAAAGTATAAAGATGTTTGTATCTATGGACCAATGCATAAAGCATTTGCGCTAAAATTTAACAATAAAAATGGTTGTTTTGTCATTTGTTTATTGATCCTTTATTATCAGTATTTACCTCATATGTTCCAGTATGATTAATAAACAAAGGGAACAACAGGTGGATGTCTAGAAGTGAAAAATAATAAAAACTTAATATATTTTTTCTTAATTAAGCAAGTAAATAAGCCTGTCAATGGCAGGAGGATCTAAATTAGAGATGATGTGCTAGCAATTTAACAACACACCAGTTTGGTTGAACAGTTCGGTTTATTTGGCTTTGAGACGTTTAAATCAACTGTAAACGTTTCCCAGTGGGAAGCGCGAGCCGCAGCTAACAGGGTCCTTCCAAACACTGCAAATATGTGGGGAGCTTTCAGTCAAAGCAGAGGAACGTCAGCGGCCTCCATGGTCAGATCAGACCACAGCTTTCCCACAATCCTTAGCATAACCAGTTTAACACCTGGTATTTCTGCACTTGTACTTTGTGAAACATGCTAATCTTCACACCTTCATATTGTTTGGCTTTTATAGCTTCACTACGTTTGGGGAACTTTTTTTCGTAGTTCTTTTACCAAAGGGCGTGGTCTCAGTTTTACCGCCGTCATCCATGTGAGTTTTTGTCAAATAGTGAAGCTGGAAGTCCAAAGGCTGCCTGGATTCAGCAGGTTTCCTAATATTGTTCCCACATAGAGATGAAAGAAGAGCTACAGTTGGGATGCAGCAGATCCGTCCAGGTGAGCAGAAATGAGGACTTTTCTACTAAACAGTAACAGGAAAGTCCGTCATCAATGGACTCTGAACATGCAGGATTTCAGAGGTTATAAATACAACTGTAACCTGTAAATTAGTTTTTGGATTAATAATTTGATATCTCTGGATCCAGCATATTGATGCACAAAATTTTAATGCAAGATATATAATATTTTTACAGTTCTGTGATAATTACTGTTCCATGTCATTTGTTTTGTCAGTTGATGGAATGTTAGAATCTGCTGACTAAAGTCAATGATTAATCCATTTCTAAATGATGTGGTTAACATTTCAAAAATCAAATCAATTTTCTGCAAACTTAACCTACAGTGAAACAGGCTTAGTGCAAAGAAAGAAGAAATCATAGCAATATTAGCTGTAAAATCTGACAGAATTAGACTTTTGGCAAAATCGAAATCTAAATTTACTCCATTGGCAAATTGTCTCAGCAGCTCAAATCAAGGGGAAATTAGTTTATTTCCTGAAAACACACTGTTTAATTTTTAGTTCCTGTTGTGATTATGCAGTGATTTCTTTTATAAAAGGAAACTGTCAACAGTTCTGATCAAATCCATCTTCCAGTCACTGCAATGGAGCGAGAAAAAGCTCTAAATATTAAAGGGAAAACAAGAAGATGTGACTGATGGGTTTGTGTCCAATAAAGTGAATCTGTTCTTGAGACGCCACATAAAGTTAAACAGAGCGTATGCTTCTGCATGTTTCAACATTTGAATTGTTTTTGTTCTGATAAATTTATAAAAAGGAAAAAAAAGTTTATAATTTTGGATGAAAGTTTAGGTTATTTTTCCTTTATTTGATTCGATTGAACCATATAGAGAATTTTAAAGAATTAAAAAAGAAAAATGGCAAAATTCTGATCTATGGGGGAGTTTTTTTACATTATTGTTGCAAAGAATGTGTTTTGTAAATGTAAATTATAAAAAAAACAAAATGCAATCCAGAAGAAAGTTTAAAAAACTTCTTAATAAAAAGTTTTGAGTAAATTTGTAGTTTAATTTTCTAAATTCTGTATCTGAGTTTTATGGATTTCATTCTTTTCAAATTGCATTTTCCAGATTCTCTTCATCTCTGGGGGCAGGCTTTCCTCTAAAGTGAGGAGCAGAGAAGCATTTCTATTGGTCTGCTGGACGTTAGCGACAGCATTTTATGGGTTCAGACAGAGTGGTCGTGTTGGGCAGGAAATAAGGAGAATGTGATCTGGAGAATGCAATTTGAAAAACAGAAAATAATTCTAAATATAAAAATCTGTAAAAAAAAAAAAAAAAAGGAAAAATTAAATTGAGAAAAAATGTTTTTAAACAAAGTTTTTTCCTTTCTTTTACAAAGATGTTCTTTGCAACAATAATGAAACAAAATTCACTCCATATGGTCCAGTTCTGGAGGCACAGAACCCTCCTGAACCAGTCGTCCTGGTTGATGGAAATCCCTGTGAGAAAAAAGGATCCTAATAAAAACAACAAAGGCTTTTCTGAAAGATAACTAAAACTCCACAGACAGCGACCCGATAGCAACACGGTACCGGGTCAATCGATCTTAGTGTTAGAACTTAGAGGCACAAGAGAAAAAATACAGATGTTTGTGAGGAAGCAGCCGTGTAGAACCAAACCCTTCCTAGAACATTCTTCATGTCGTCTTTAACAGAACATTCCTGTTCATCTCGGTCCGTTTTCATTCCTTTAAAGTCGGGTAGTTCTGGAACTGGGACCGGCCCAGTCGAGTCCGACCTAAGTGATGACGAGGAGATCCTCCTGCTCTGGTTCTTGGCTACGGTCCGATCTTCCACTGTCTTGGGTTGGGCCGGTTCCGCTCTGGATCTCTTCTTCCCAAGCGGCTGAGTCCAACCCTGCCGGAGCCGACAGGGAATGTGGAGCCGGGGTCCGTCCCAGGCCTTCATACTGGCCCTGGTCCGTGATGGCGTCTTGAGATGCCGACGCCAGGAGCCCTGATCGCTCGCCGTCACTCTGCGCCTCGCTGAAGTAGGACTTCTTGGGTCGACCCATGACGGTCCGTCCTGCAAACGGGTCCAATAAAAACAAAAACCATCAGAGGTTTTAAAGCTCAACAGCAGAGAAAAGGGATTCTGAAAAAAATACTCAAAGCCAAACTTCATAAGGTTCAAACTTCAGGACATGTAGCCGGTTAAAACTGGACCAGAACCAGTTAATGTGTTCTGAAACTTCAGGAGTGAAATTCCTGTCCTGCTCCTTATCACTAGAGATAAAGGTGGTACATGGATGATTCCAGAACACGAACTCTGAATGGGACTGACTGACTGAACCCGACCAGAACCAGAACCTGAGTCAGAAAACGACCCCTCACAAATCAAACATCTATGACTGTGCTGCTGATTCACCTTTTAAACAGAGATGAATTACCGTAATTTTTTCTTTGTATAATCGTTATCATTGATTATAATGGCAGCAGATTTGGGGAATAGTTGGCATTTTAGGATAACTTCTATTTTAGTTTGACTTCTATTGTAACTTTTAGATTTTTTTTGCCTCCTCGGGGCCACCGTAATCTATATCAGTGATATACAACCTACAAGTGGCTCCTTTGATCTTCCAGTGTAAAACTTAATAGCTTTGGAAAAAATAAAAAAAACATAATGCAGATTTTTTTTTTTTTTTATAAATAATTGCATTAAATTTGACACTAAAAGTCCCAGTAATACGCTTTAAAGGAAAAATCCGGTCATATTCAGAATTTAAACTTCTGAAAGTACTTTTAATATGAAATTATTACATCCTGTTCAATAAATAAGTGTTTTTAATTCAGAGTAATTTTCATTGGAATGTGCTTTACTGGAGGCATCCATGTTTGTCAAAGAACAATACTGCCACCTACTGGTTTGTGACGTCACGGTGCGGTATCGGCTGTTGATCAAGTCCCAGTGCTGTATCTGGTGTTTGTCACAACGCGCTATTATCCAAGTCATCTTGAAAACATTCTTCTTCCAAATGTTGGCTACATATTACGTGTTTTTTCTCTGGCCAGAAGTTCGATGGCAAATCCTCCCTCTTCATGTTGGCGATCCAACGACCAACCCGTCCGTGGAGGATCAGGAATCAGAAAGGTGAAATAACTAATTTTTTTTCACTATTACCTGATGTATTCCAGCATCCAGCTGCCATGCACGTGGGCATTGTCAGTTTCACTATAGCTCTGGTGAATTTCAATGGTGAAGTCCTCTGGAAATCTTCAATAATTGTTGTTGATTGCAGATGTGTCTAGTAGTTCCCATTGATTTAGCTTGTAAAGCGGGGAGAATGGCGCTAGACAGCGTGAGTCTCCCCGTGACGTCACTGCCGGAAGATGGCAGGAATGAGGTGTTACTATATTTGGGCAAAAATGGCCGCTCCAAGACTCCGTGACCATGACGAAAATAAAATTTATTTATTTTTTTTACTGATTAACGTTAAATTCTTTAAATCATCACAAACGTATTAGTTTTAGGTAAAAATAGTGACCCATTGGTTACTCCTTGCTGAACGGACTTTTCCTTTAAAGGAATAGTACACCCAAAACATGATTAGCCTTCATTTTCTACTCACCTCCATGCTGAACAACACTCTGGAGTACTTTTTTGATATCTCAAATGCATCTGGAGATCTGGGAGACTTCTTGCTGTCTGCTGACATTCAAATAATGGAGGTCTATGGTGCCCGAGACAGAAAGGTCCATAAAAGTCCACAAAAACTTGTCAATATTCCTCCATACTGCTCGTCCAATGTAATCCAAGTGTCCTGAGTGGGTAGCATCCAGAATTTACTCGAAACGAAGTCATTTAGAACGTTTTAGAGCCTAAACAGTAGTGTATAGGATTTCCTAATAGCGCCCCCATGCGCGCTCACGATTCTACGGAAGCCGGCAGACCAAACCAGCGCATTCAGCTCGGCAAAGAACTCATGCTCTTCCTCAACACTGAAGTCCTCAGACATTTTTCTTTCGTTGTTTCTTTCTTTGCACAGGTAAACAGCACATTTCTTCTTCTACGCTTGCATTATCGGCAGACCAGACGCTGAATGCGCACTTCCTTCCGGTTTGGTCTGCCGGCTTCCGTAGAATCGTGAGCGCGCATGGGGGCGCTATTAGGAAATCCTATACACTACTGTTTATGCTCTAAAAACATTCTAAATTACTTCGTTTCGAGTAAATTCTGGATGCTACCCACTCAGGACACTTGGATTACATTGGACGAGCAGTATGGAGGAATATTGACACGTTTTTGTGGACTTTTATGGACCTTTCTGTCTCGGGCGCCATGGACCTCCATTATTTGAATGTCAGCAGACAGCAAGAAGCCTCCCAGATCTCCAGATGCATTTGAGATATCAAAAAAGTACTCCAGAGTGTTGTTCAGCATGGAGGTGAGTAGAAAATGAAGGCTAATCATGTTTTGGGTGTACTATTCCTTTAAGACCCATTTTTCTTTCCTTTGGGTTAAAATCCAGATGTTTTTATTTCCATCACCTAAGATTTCATGGAGGAAAATGGATCCATCATTACTTTATTCTTCATTAGCTCTAAGCCTAAAAATAATAAAACGATGGTTCTTCAAAAAATAACTTTCCTGTTAGTAGGGGAGACCGGGTATGGTTGTAACATGGGGAGAGTTGTAACACCACCAGTTCCAGCAATCAGGGATAAGATTGGAGTCACATGATCATTTCAGTGTTTACCCGCTTCCTCCCCAATCTCATTTTGTGATTGTCAAGGCTGGAAACAGGTGGATGCAGATACTAAGGAGAAAAAAACGGATTTTGAGGTAAGAAAGTACATTTTTTGACCATGACTATATTTTGTTTAGTACTTATACTGTTGCAGATAAAACCATATTACTTACATTAGATCAGTGGTTCTCAAACTTTTTCTGTCATTCCCCACTTTGGACAAGGGGGAATTTTCAAGCCCCGCCTGTCCCCATCGCCCCAACACAATGCTAATGAAATATGCAACAATCTTAAAATTTTCCAATTTTATTGAAGTAACAAGTAGTATCTAAATACAAACTATCTACATCAAATAACAGCATGCTCAAATATAAAGAAAATAAAAATGCAGCTGTGTCAAAATTTGTATCAAGCTCAAAGATAGAAAAAATTAAAGTGCCACTCTGCAATCTGTTAATAAAAGAAAAGAAGTGAAATCCATCTGGCAATACAGGTCTATTTATCCCTGCATTAGTGGCTGCAATGAGCCTGTTTTGCATTGCACAGTTTCTCAAAACGGGGTTGCAGGCTTGATACTGCCACTCTCAAGTCATGCTCAATGTTCAGCTGAGATCTGTATTTTGTTTTCAGTGAAGCAACAGTTGAAAAGCCCATCTCACAGAGACATGATGTGGCAAAGGGAAAAAGAATGCACACAGCTCTCTGCCCGATGAGTGGATACTCCCTCTCCACTCCAAACCAGAATTCACTATGAGTCTGAGCATTAAACCTGAGCTTCAGGGTGGAGTCAGACGTCATTTCAATAAACTGGTCCTATTTATTTAAGATAAAATATTTCAAATTCAGTTATTTATGATCAACCTGCGCCGTCAATCCCGGCGCACGTGCGCTTTATTTGCAGTCTGGACGCTGAGGGTAAACATGCTGTGTCTCTGCAGCGCTGAGAGGGACTCCTGTGATAGCGGGGGAGAACGGGGTGGGGATGGGTTAGGCGCCCCACGGCAGCACCTGCCGCTGGAGGACAAGAAAAGGAACGATACGTGCTTTCACGTAAGAGTCTCCAAAAGTCGCTAATTTGTCGCTAGTCCCTTTTTTAAAAAAGAGTCGCTGGAGGGGTCTAAAATATAGCGACAAAGTCGCTGAGTTGGCAACACTGGGGCGCGAAAGTTTATTCCGTTACAAATAATATGCCGACGTCACGTCAATCATTATTTTGGCACTTCAGTTCCAGGGGAAATTTTTCTCATATCTAATGTTCTTTTAATTAGACTGCATGTAGGCTATTAATGATTACTTTGTGGGTTTGATTGGTCTAAAAAGCGGCAACATGCAGCTATAAGGACAGTTTGCTCTCACACGTTCTACATTTATAGTCACACAACACACACACACACACACACACACCGGAACTTGGCGCGCCCCACCTGTCACGTCTCAATTCCCCACCAGTGGGTCGCGCCACACACTTTGAGAACCGCGGGATTAGATGAAAGTGTAATTCCTCAGGCAAAATGTGATTCATTTCCCCGTGCTACTTTCAATCCGCTATGCTACTACAGCTAGCTAAACATGGCTGACAGGGTTGGGGTGGGTTGTAACACATCTTTAAAAAGTGTTACCCTATGCAGTCTCTGGGCCCACCAAGCCTGCACTCCTGGGCTACAATCATTCATTTGTCACCACTGTGACTCTGATTAAAGATACACACACACACATAGACACAACCACAAGCACACACACACACATTGACATTGTTTTTTTTTTAGACCTACATGTTTGTTCGGTGTTCATTAAGCATACAATATACATGTTAGAGAGAGAGAGAGAGAGAGAGAGAGAGAGAGAGAGAGAGAGAGAGAGAGAGAGAGAGAGAGAGAGAGAGAGAGAGAGAGAGAGAGAGAGAGAGAGAGAGAGAGAGAGAGAGAGAGAGAGAGAGAGAGAGAGAGAGAGAGAGAGAGAGAGAGAGAGAGAGAGAGAGAGAGAGAGAGAGAGAGAGAGAGAGAGAGAGAGAGAGAGAGAGAGAGAGAGAGAGAGAGAGAGAGAGAGAGAGAGAGAGAGAGAGAGAGAGAGAGAGAGAGAGAGAGAGAGAGAGAGAGAGAGAGAGAGAGAGAGAGAGATTGTTCTTGTATTGTTCTTTTAATTCAGTAAACCTATTTTTGATGCATATCACATGGTGTGGCCTCTGTTTTTGCTTCTTTTGTGTAATTGTTACAACTTACCCCAGCAGGTGTTATAACCTACCCCGGTAGCGGGGCAGGTTGTAACAAAGGCACACCATGTATCTGACATGAACTCATGAAGTCTGTGATATACTTGAAGAGGTTTGAATTGGTGCCATTTGTAGTAAACTAATGTGGGTATTTTGTATAAAATTTTGAAAACTCTAGCTCAAATATTCTGTGAGTTAAAGGTGCTGGAGCCAAAAGTGTTACAACCATACCCGGTCTCCCCTATATGTATTTAAAAAAATACATTTTTTTCTAAAGCTAACGCAGCATTAGCATCCTAAACAGATTCTACTGGGCTGGACTGAGGGTCTGTCCTGATCCAGACCAACATGGCGCGTAGAGACTCACCAACGTTGCGGACTTGTTCAGAAATATCTGCTCTGACGTCCGAGATGTCCCACATGGCCATGAAGGAGTCAAAGCAGGAGACCTCCTCTGCGTCCTGGATGTAAGGCTTATAGCTGAAGCTGAAGTGGTGGGCGATGGCCGCCAGGAACATCTCCACGCAGATGACAAAGTCCTGAAGGAAAATAAAACACAGCCTGGTTGGTTTGACAACATTAATAATAGACCACATTCCAGCTGCTTCATGCTAACCCACCTGTAAGCCAGTGGCGACTGCCTCCACGCTCTGCCAGTCCCAGGTCCGTTTCTCAGAGATGATTCCCACTTTAACCAACACGGCGATCAGCACAGCTTGCCTGGAAACGTTTACAAATCCTTAGTTTCCTCAGATGAAGACGATCTATGCATTGAAAGGCGAGACTTACCAAAAAGAGACAAACACCACCATTTTCACGCAGAGGAACTTCCCCACTGGCTTGATGGGACCGAGCTCGTCCCTCAGAGCCCGGTAGAACAGAACCAGGCAGTACATGGCAAACTGTAACCAAACCAGACGAAGGAAAAGAACCGGCTTCAAACTGTGAGCCAAAGTCTGGAGCACTGGCTTTCAAAGAGCAGCGGCCCGTTTACCCACCAGCTGGGACATGTTGTTGAAAATCACCAGGTAGGTCCAGGCGTTCCGAAAGTTGAAGTTGCCTTCGTCGTAAACGCCGCACAGCTGGCAGATTCTAGGCAGAAACAAGCGTAGGTCAGGTCATCTGGTTTACTGAGGAACCGACTGCAGAGGAGTTGAGTTTACTTACAGGGCAATCACCGTGGTGACGGGTCTGACCACCGTGTACTGGAGCACCCCCAGTTTACAGCGCAGCAGCAGGACCCTGGTCAGTTCAGACAGGAAAGGAGAGATTTCAACCAGACATCAGACCTCCAAAGATCATTAAAGGCTGACAAACTGATCAATGAAAGGTGCCTGTGACGCCCCTAGTGGAGAGCGTCGGTACCACAAGTAGGAAACAACCAGAATTCGAAAAAACATAATAAATATGAATTCTACTTTAAACTGTTAGGCTAACTAGTCTTCAACTGGAATCTGTGGAAAAAGTCAGCAGCGTTTTTCAAGAGTTCTTAGTCCTATCTATCCCAACGAAAACAAAAATTCTCCTAGAACCTCCTAATGGCTCCTAAAATGATCTGATGGGTTCTGGGCAAATCCACGGTTGCATTAAGGAGTCCAAATACTCTGAAACTGAACCCCATAGATGGTTCCAAGGTGACAGATCCATAAAACTTTAGAAAATGAAACCTGTATATAAACCATTTCACCTTTGAATCTTTTAAGTTTATTGGAAAAATTGTATGTAGTTTATAATTTTAGCATTTTGTTTTAATTCTAGCTTTTGGTTATTCTTTGGTATCTTCCGTCTTCCACCAGCCTGGGTAACAATGAATTAGTTGACCTTAATTCAGTTAGCGATTCCTCTGATCTTATTCATAATTTCATCTCTAAGCTCACTCTCCCATCGGCCATGGTGGACAGCAGCAGAGTGGGGGGAGATGCTTCTGCTGCTCCTGGACCTCCAGCATCATCACCAAGCTGGGATACTGCCGTTCCAGGTAGTTGAGCAGGAAAGTCATGAAGTTATAGATGACGTAGGCCTCGTAGCACTCTCTGCATGTGTCCACATAAATGGCTATACTGGGGTATTTCAGCGCGATCCACTGGAAGATAAATGACACGTGTCAGTTAAAGATCTACAAACCGAGAAACGTCTGCAGAAAATTATGAATTTTCTAATTTCACATTATTAAAAGATAAAAGGTTTGTGACTCACGCTGTCCAAGCTGTAGATTGGGACCATCCATAATATCCTGAAATAATAAAAATAATAATTATAATAAAGGGGAATGAAAGTCAAAACCCAACTAAAACGGTCTTAATGGGTTTTCTTTCTTCATTAGGAGGTGTGTTGATACCTGATGATGGGTTTCTGCAGGTCTGGTTGGGTGTAGTGCACCAGGTGCTGGAGGATTCCCCATAACGATATCGGTATGGTCATAAAAACAAAAATCCCAGCAATGAACCATGCTTTGTTATGAGTTCCAACCTGTTTTTGGAAGAAAAAATTAATATTAACACAAATAACTCCAAATATCTTCCCCTCTACTGCATGTATTGCTTTGGTAATGATACTAAATATGCTTTTTTTATTGGACACAAAAAAAAGACATAAACCAGGGAAGAGCTTTAACTATCCAACGCTGTTTGCAACATTAAAACATGCCTTCGTATATTTATAAATTCACTCATGTTCTGACTTGTAGTAAAGACTAATTATCCGAAAATGTTTAGTGTTCATGTTTCTGTTTAACGTCCAACAAGTCATGACATTATTTTTGGACATTCGAGACCAAAGTCCTGAAAACCAATCCATCTGCTAAACACTCCCAGAGAGACGGGGACAGGTAAGCTAGATAAAACTCACACATGATCCGGATCATTAGGACATTTTAATGAATTGTTCCTTCCCATGAGCAGACCTCTGGTGAAAATGTCATTAAAACTAGTGTTGCACCGATCCCCAATACCTGTACCAGTACCGTACCGATACCATCTGTCTGAATATGCTGGTGAAGGTTCTCAGTCATCCAGGTGTTACGGCTCCTGGCCTTTTAAGACTAACCCCTTGTTCACACTGGCTCCGGTGCGGTTACCGAGCCAACAGAGACCGCAACTCCCGCACACCCCCTCTCACACTGCCCTTTTGACTACGGTGCGGTGCAGCTCTGCGGCTCCGGCAACAGGTCCGGAGATTTAACAGAAGTTCACTTGAGTTCACGTAACTTCACGCGATAACACGGCCCAAATAAGGATATTTGCGAGAGCTTGTTGCGGAGGTTCTCCGGCACGCCGCAAGGATAGCTTTCTTGCGGAATTTTCTGCAGCGCCGGAGTGTCTCGGTAACCGCAGCCGGACAGCTCAGCAGCCGGTGAGAGAGGTTTACGTCTTTTTAATGACTTGGAATCACTGCGGCGCCGCACCCACCGCACCGCAACGGTAAGACCGGAGTCGGTGTGAGCCTGGGGTAAGCAGGCTTGTTTTTTTATGCAGGTTCAGCTCTGACAGAAATCTTCCTTGTTGGTTGCCTGAATGCTGCAGAGGAGCAGTGACATGATTGGACCATCAGAAAATTGTCAAGCCAATCAGATGTTGATGAGGCCCACCTGCACCATATAAAAGGCTCCTGGAAAGCTTTCAGTTTGGGGACAGCTTGTAGGAAGAGGTTGTTGTTAAGCTGTTCCTCCACCTGTTTTGGGCAGTTGGAAATCTTTGCCTTCGCTTGTTGTATATTTTTCTGAATCTGCTTTAGGTGGACTTTGTTCAAGCTAGAAACTTGTGTTTGGGAGGTTCTGTGCTCCCTTTGTCTTTTCTTTTGGGTTGTTTTGAGTTAAACTTAGAATGACTGCTTTGGACATTTTGTAATGTAATTTGCACTTAACCATTCTTGAATTTGTTGGTTTCCAAGTTTGAAAACGTCTTCAAAATTGGAACTTCATGCTACTTGGATGTAAACTAATTGCCATCTTGGTTTTGTCAAGCTGCTGTCTACCTTTGTGAAGCAGGAAAAAGACTAATACGAAGTGAATTAGTAGAACTTTTTATTGCCTAACTTGAATGGGTGACAATAGTTGATTAAACGTTTGGCTAACAAAATGGTATCGATGCCCTATTTGTTGGTACTCGCTGATACCGATACCAGCATTTTAGTGCTGGATCGGGGCCCCGCCTGATACTGGTATCGCTGCAACGCTGATTAAAACCTGTTCATAACTTTTCCAAGTAAACCTGCAAACAGACAAACGCGACTGAAAACATAAACTCCTTGGTGAAGGTAACCTTTACAGGTTTTTCACTCCTACAGCAGCGATGTTTAATTTTTTTTAAAGGTTTTTCAAGGTAAATTGTCATAATTTGACATTAAAATGTTTATTAAATGTTTTTAATATTTGATTTTACAAAGCCAAATCTCCTCCTCAGTGTCAGTGCAAACTCTGTATGAACCACTATGTTCTTCTTGCTGCCCTCTGGGAAGTGGCTTCACAGCATGCAGGTCCAGCAGGTTCTGCAACAGCTTTTTCCCCACTGCCGTCAGACTGTTGAACTGTTTTTATTTTTATTTTTTATTTTTTAGTTTTTACGGCACTAGTGGCTCATTTCTTCGACAGGAGGCTGACAGGAGAGGGGGAGTGACATGTGGCAAAGGACCACAGGCAGTACCACCAGATACTGCATGGGGGTCGCGAAAGTTTTGGTTTATTAGACTTTCTCTTTAAATACACATTAAGATGAATTTAAGACACTGTAGTAAACAGATAATTGGAGGCAGAAGATCTTCAATGCACACATAGAGGCGCTTTCAAGCTGGGCACCGTTTCATTCAAAACACCTGTCCCATCATCCAGGAATCAGAGACAGAAATACTTTAATAATCCCAGGGAGAAATTACTTTCGTTAGACTACTCCATCTGTAATAGAGTGACTATGTGTTGTGAATTGGCGCTATAGAAATAAACTGAATTGGATTATAGGACCAGTTTGATATAACACTATTTCATACAATATATATAAAATTAGGGGGTCCCTGCTCCATCTCGCCATCAGTTTGGGGGTTCTTGGCCAGCAAGACATTGAAGACCCCTGCACTAGACTGTTGGAAAACAAATCGAGACTCTGCATCACACTGATATCACACCAAATAGAACTCAATTCAAATTTTTTATTCTACTGCATTTTTGCTCCATATATAGTTGTTTGTTTTTGCACTGCTCTGAGCTTCCACATCAATGCCTTTTGCACCAAGTTTTTCTGCTTCCATTTGATCACTGCTGCTTTTCACTGCTAAGCTGCTGCTGTTTCACTGTCTGAATGCTCTGTATGCAAAATGTCAATAAAGCTGTCTAAGTCTGCCTAAGCACCTGTCATTACACGGTGGTGGCAGCATCATGCTGTGCGGATGGTTTTCTCCGTCATGTTTCAGAGATGATGTTGAATCGGTTAGAATCCGATACAAGGACGACCAGGAAGAAGACGCTGCAGGTTTGGACCGGAAATGATTAAAATGTCCTAAAACCGAGAAGCTGTGGATGACGTCACCGTGTAATCTGACCGCGTTTGAGCAGAAACTTTAAACTCCAGATGAGAAAATCTCCTCACCTCGGATTTCTGCAGTTCCCAGATGCAAAACGGCAGGACGACGATGAGCAGCAGGATGTAGAGCAGAACGACCAGCGGGCGGATCCACCTCCTCCAGTCCCCACAGGAGCAGGGCATGTCGGCCCGCAGAGAGGCCCCTGATCCACAGACAAACACAGCAGTCTGGAGCTAAAAGCCTTTAGCTCCTAGATCGGTTGCTCTGCCATGGCCCGCTTCTGTTACAGCTGATCTATACCTGGGGGTCAGCTGCTTCACCGGAGGACACACCGCTGGTGTCTCATTAACAACTCATGTGACTCCGGCTGGCTAACGTTAGTTAGCCCGTCAGCTGATTCAACACGTAAACAAACCGAACTGACGAACCAAGCTGCCAGAACCGCTTAAACCAACCAAACAAGTCCGAATAAAAAAGATTAAGAATCATCAGATACTTTTTATATATTACTGGAAGATAAAGTCTGCTAAGGGTGACAGATCCTTAAAGTTTCCTAACAGTGACCGTTGCTAAGCGGACGCTTCCGGATGTTTACAGTTCGGCCTTCAACCTGATTGGTCCATCCGGGAGTCCGCTCCTTTTTAGTCCACCGACTCGAGTTACGGCGATGAGAGGAGTCTCTCTGCACAAACAACTAAACGTGTGACTGAGGATGTTTTTACTGTGAAAATGATGATATTTAGAATAAAAACAGAAATAAAATTTAAAATCCTCCTTCTCACATATAAAGCCTTAAATGGCCAAGCTCCATCTTATATCAGAGATCTGATTGTTCCTTATGTTCCTAGCAGAGCACTTTGCTCTCAATCTGCAGGTTTACTAGTGGTTCCTAGAATTTCTAAATGTAGAATGGGAGGCAGATCTTTTAGTTATCAGGCTCCTCTCATGTGGAACCAACTACCAGTTTTAGTCCGTGAGGCAGACACCCTGTCTACTTTTAAGGCTAGGCTTAAAACTTTCCTTTTTGATAAAGCTTCTAGTTAGAGTGGCTCAGGTTATCCTGAGCTATCTCTATAGTTATGCTGCTATAGGCTTAGACTGCTGGAGGACATAGGGACCCCTGTTTCATCATTCTGCTTCATTCTATCTTTATTCTCCCACTCTGCAGAATCTGTTAGTTTAAAGGAATAGTACACCCAAAACATGATTAGCCTTCATTTTCTACTCACCCTCATGCTGAACAACACTCTGGAGTACTTTTTTGATATCTCAAATGCATCTGGAGATCTGGGAGGCTTCTTGCTGTCTGCTGACATTCAAATAATGGAGGTCTATGGCGCCCGAGGCAGAAAGGTCCATAAAAGTCCACAAAAACGTGTCAATATTCCTCCATACTGCTCGTCCAATGTAATCCAAGTGTCCTGAGTGGGTAGCATCCAGAATTTACTCGAAACGAAGTCATTTAGAATGTTTTTAGAGCATAAACAGTAGTGTATAGGATTTCCTAATAGCGCCCCCATGCGCGCTCACGATTCTACGGAAGCCGGCAGACCAAACCGGAAGAAAGTGCGCATTCAGCGTCTGCTCTGCCGATAATGCAAGCGTAGAAGAAGAAATGTGCTGTTTACCTGTGCAAAGAAAGAAACAACGAAAGAAAAATGTCTGAGGACTTCAGTGTTGAGGAAGAGCATGAGTTCTTTGCCGAGCTGAATGCGCTGGTTTGGTCTGCCGGCTTCCGTAGCGTCGTGATCGCGCATGGGGGCGCTATTAGGAAATTCTATACACTACTGTTTAGGCTCTAAAACGTTCTAAATGACTTCGTTTCGAGTAAATTATGGACGCTACCCACTCAGGACACTTGGAATACATTGGACGAGCAGTATGGAGGAATATTGACACGTTTTTGTGGACTTTTATGGACCTTTCTGTCTCGGGCGCCATAGACCTCCATTATTTGAATGTCAGCAGACAGCAAGAAGCCTCCCAGATCTCCAGATGCATTTGAGATATCAAAAAAGTACTCCAGAGTTTTGTTCAGCATGGGGGTGAGTAGAAAATGAAGGCTAATCATGTTTTGGGTGTACTATTCCTTTAATTTTTAACATCATGCTCTTTCTGCTTTTTCTCATAGTAGCTTTGCCTCGTCTGTTCCTGTTTGGCTGTGACTCCATCCTGGAGAGAAACATCAGCTGTGCTGCTGCCATCAACACCTTTGTTTATAGATGTTGGAGATCGGCCTGTTTTCCAGTGTAGTCCTGTTTCTGTGACTGTGACTAACTGGATGTGCTCTCTTCATCCTCTGACATGGGAGCGGGATTTTCAGCTCCTCTGCCTGGCTGTGTTTCCTGGATGGGGCCGCCTTTTACAGCTGCTTTTTGTATCTCTGCTTCTGTCTCCTTGAACCCCAGTCGGCCTCAGCAGATGGCCGCTCACACTGAGCCTGGTTCTGCTGAAGGTTTCTTAATGTTAAAAGGGAGTTTTTCCTCTCCACTGTCGCTACAAGCATGCTTAGTGGGAGGGTTTGCAGAGAGTCAACTCTCAACTGGTTTTCCTTAGATAGAAAACTTTTAATCAATCTAAGTGTATGATGTGGTGAATTGTAAAGGGCCTTGAGATTAAATGTGTTGTGAATTGTTGCTATATAAATAAACTGTATTGAATTTAATTGAAATAGAAAACATGAAAACAAAAAAAAATCAGGTAGAAGAAACATGTTTCTACATAATTTTTTAACAACTTAAAATAATAAATCAATAATTTCAATAGGTAATACGTAAATGTTAAGAGAGGATAAAGAACTTTAACTATGATATCTACTTTAATATGGAGTGACTTTTGTTCCATTATTGTTGCAACCAAAGAAAGTGTTTTGTAAATGGCAGTTTTAAACACAAGAATATAGTTGAAGTAAAAGTAAAAACTTTAATAAAGTACAACTACTCCTAAAGTAAAGTGTTCTAAAAGACACTGAAGTAAATATAAGTAATTACTAAATCCTCATTAATAATGCGAAAAAAAGTGGTGACGTTAATATTCACCATCGGTTAATATATTTTATGAGGGGAATAAAGTTGTTTCTCCCTCTTAGATCTAGACTGTAGTTTGTTGACAAGAAGGAATGTTTTCCTAATTCATGGGTCTGAAACCTTTAAAATCTAAACAGCTATGATTCCCTTAGTCTGGTTTAGTAAAAATTGTTTAAAACCTTTTTTTTTTTTTTTTTATCACACAGCCTTTTATTGAAACACAATGTATTTTTTTGGTTACATTTTTGCTAAAAGAAATTTGTTTACTCTGTCATTTATTTTTGTGAAATGTGATTTATATATTCTTTACAAAAATCTATTACCGCCTCTTAGGCTTATATTTGGTATCATGTTACATTAAGAGCCATAGTAGCTGGTCCAATGAGCCACATGTTGCAAACTTCTGGCCTCAGTAAATTTACAGCAAATCTGTAAAAATAAAGACCTGCAGACTTTGGAACCAGGAAGCTCAGTTCTTTATGAGCCGTAAAGCAAAGCGCCCTAATAAATCTTATAGGTGTCACATGTTGGCTATTTTGATGCCATAAAACAAAAAACATTTTCTCTGTATCAATACAGTCTGAGAATCCACAGAAAGGCTCAGATTGAAGCATCTGCTTATTCATGTTCCTTTAAAATATATATCCACGTAACAAGCAAAATAACTTATTATTAAACAGAATAAATAATAGCTGCAATGACAAATCCTTTCAGATTTTTGGTGACATGTTCTGCACCTCCCTCTCCATCCCAAAACAGCAGTAAACCCCCCCCCTCACTGCTGGTAATCAAGTGCGATGGCTCAGCCACCGGCTGAAGGAAATGGAATGCACCCAACCAGTTTGCCAATTTAGGCTGCTCCAGTTTGCGACCACTAGATGGCACTGCACTGTCAATGTTTTATAATCAACATGCAGAATCTGATTTATATTTTTCTTAACTTATTAGGACACTACTGTTTGTGTATAATGTTTAAAACTAAACAAAGATGTTTTAATATAAAGAAGTTAAGCATAAACTAGAAGTGAACTTTATTCATCTTAGTTTAAAGACATTTTCTCTATAAGTTTGAATGTGGTTGAAATGTATGTTCTTAATGATCTTTTAACAGGTTTTTCTTGAAATTTGAATGTGTTGCATCTGCAAATTAAAACTGGTTTAAATATTTAGAAGTCAGGCTAATTATTGATATATTTAATTATTACATTATTGTAACACTGGGGTAACCAACCCCAACAATAATGAGATTAGCTTAAGTTTAAGCTTTGTTCTAATATGAAAATGTTTTCTCACACTAAGATTTTTTTAGGAATTTGAACAGTTATTAAAAAATGTCTCAACCATCACTGGTCTCCCCTATATTCAAAATTATTATTTTTTTTTTATGTAATAATAAGGATGATAACAAAATCAATAAAAGCATGTGCTGGTCTAAATATACAGAAAAGTTTAAAAAGTATTTAATTTAACCAGTTTAGAAATCTTCACTTGTACCAGAATTAATATTCAGTTTGTCATGAAAGCAACTTTTTCTAATTTGTTTCGCTCATAAAAATCCATTAAACTTTCTGAACTAAATGCTGATTGTGTTTTTTTAGGAACAGCGTCTCTTTCTAAGGAAATTAAAGTAGGCAAACCTCGTATCAGGGCCACCGTAATAAATGGAACTGACCAACGTTCATTTCGTCTCCTGGTTTAGAAATCTCTGTTGAAGACATGAAAAATCATCTGAATCAGGTATTTGTGCAGAACAGTAAAATAATTAGTGTTCAGCAAATTAATTCCCTCGATTTATATAAAAGGGCCTTGAAGAAAAAAAGCAGTTGAGATCTACAGTCCTCCTTCCAGCTGCTGCCATCTGACAGGAGACCGAGAGCCTCCATTAAAAAAGATAACCGGATAGAAAAACTCCTTTGTTCCTTTTGCTTCAACATCTTTAAATAGAAAACAAAAAAAAAACAAACAGAATATTTCAGTTCATCATTGCTCATATTATTCTGGGTCATATTTCATTTATTTACTCAATCATTTTGAAAGGTTGTCTTTTATGGAACTGGTTTAATTGTGTTAAATTGTTATTATTTTATAAAACGATGATACGCTGGCTCCCTGTATCTCAGAGAATAGACTTTAAAATACTTCTGTTAGTCTATAAATCTCTGAATGGCTTAGCACCTAAATACATCACAGACTTGCTATCAGTGTATCAACCCTCCAGACCACTCAGGTCTTCTGGCTCCAGCCTGCTCTGCATACCTAGAACCAGAACTAAACATGGAGAAGCAGCATTTAGTTCCTATGCTCCACTTATCTGGAACAAACTTCCAGAAAACTGTAAAAGTGCGGAAAGCCTGAATTCCTTTAAATCAAGACTAAAAACACATTTGTTTAGGATTGCCTTCGACTGTTCCAGTTAAACAGCTCAACTGAAACATCATTAGTTCAACTTTTTTATTTTCTTTAGTCCAACTGTTTTTAATGTTCTTTTTTGTTTCTGCATTTTTTATTTCATTTCTTTATTTTTTCCCTACTTGCTTTGAATCTGCTTCATTTTCCTATAATCATGTAAAGCACTTTGCATTGTC